GAGCCATATGAATGTCCTTAAAATCATACACAAAAGGTACCTGCAAAAACAAATTTAACACTCATTATCAAACTCGTCAAACTCGTCAAACTCGTCAAACTCGTCAAACTCGTCAAACTCGTCAAACTCGTCAAACTCGTCAAACTCGTCAAACTCGTCAAACTCGTCAAACTCGTCAAACTCGTCAAACTCGTCAAACGCCGACTTGTTTGACGAGTTTGAACATTTTTGAGACTCGAATAGTTTGACTTGTTTGACGGGTGCGCTAAGTTTAACTAATATCTACCATGACCATTAATCTATGTTTTAGTGCATCCGACTGTCGACAATATCATCGTGACTCGATTTCTATCCGTCTTTTTCACAAAACACTGTTTCTCACCCAATCCGAAAACCCTATTTCGATATTTCAGTAACAATTTATCATTCAAACCATAGTTTTTCAAATTTTTATTTCAAACCCTATTCTTAACGAAAACTTAATAGAAAATCTAAAACCGAATCTCAATGTATACCCGAAACCCTAAAAAATTTGATTTTTGCGGAGTTAAAAAACTATACCTGGAGGTCTTCGCAAGTAGGGTCCGAAGAGGGGGCCGAAGATGATGAAGACGAAGCCATTCTTCGTGAAAATTTGACGAGTTTGACGAAATCGCACAGAAAAATCGCACAGAAAAATCGCACAGAAAAATCAGAGTGAAGAGAAAATGAAGAAGAAGGAACGACACTATGAAGAAATGAAAGTGTCTGTCGAAAAGGGGCAAAAAAAAACTGTTTGGTTTTTCAAATTTTTTTAATTTAGTAACTTCCCAATATTTGGTCTTTTTCCTTCAGATGTTGACACGTGTATTTTTTAAAAGGGGTAACGATGTCTTTTCATTCTTTTACAGTTTTTGTTTGAAGTTTTTTTTTTTGAAGGGTATGTGATGTAAGTGAAATCGACATTTAAAGGTATTTTTGTAATATTCCCGATCAAAATCATGCGAAGATTTCGATCGGATTGAGAAGGTAAACGCAAGGCAATGTAGAGAGAGGGTCAAGAGTTTGAAACTTTTGTACACGAAGGAAAGCGTCAGGAAGGAGGGGTTTGCCACGTCAGCATAGGAATATTTTATGATTTATTTTTCAGGGTTGATTTTAGAGAGAGAGAGGGGAATAGCTGAATCGAAGCAACTACTTTCCCATCATCGTCAAACCAAGATTTTGATCTGGCCGTCATCTGTACTGCAATTTTCTGCGCAGCAGGAGCAACGAATTCCGATCATGTTGAATAAGGTTTAGATCTCGAATTCGTCCGTGAGAGAGGATCCCTTGACGACGAAAATGGGTCGTATTTTCGAGTATTTCGTGGTTTGTGGACTCGGCCCGGAGATTCGTACCCTGGATGGTGATATAGGGTTCCATGGGACGCAGACATTGTACTTGCCTTCGCTTCTCGACCAGTTCCCTCCGTCGGATCACTCCCTCTACCCTCCTCCTCCTCCCCAGCTTCCTACTGTAAGTTGGAGAAATCTTCGAATTTTCTAGTTTTTAGTTAATGATCCTCGAGATTTGAGTTCTGGAGGTTGATGATTCGGTTTGGGTCGTAGGCAGAGATGCTTTGTTGTTATTGGGTGATGATTCGACTTTGGCTCGTTGTCTCCAAATGGGGATTTCTTCATGCTTTGTTCTTTCTTTTTTGGGGACTATTGATTGGATTGGGAACGAGCAAGTCTTCTGCTTCGCTCTTAAACGTCCCTCTGCATGTTTTTTGACACTATTTTTTCATCTTCAGGATTTCTGTTTCACATATCACACCCTCTGTGTATATGGTCGAATTCTAAAGTTTCATGATTTTGGTCTCAGGCTGAACTGGATCACACGGATTTGATTCAATTCATTAGTTGAATCCTAAATAAGCTCGTTTTTGTGGGTTGGCTGAGCTTAGAAATACTGATCTCTGGTGGATTGTGGTGATTCAGTATTCTTTTTTCTTTTTTTGGGCAGTGTGTTCTACCTGCTGGGGTGGAGTTTCATTCATCTGGGTTTGATTCCAGTGATCCTGCTAGTTTTCCTCGAAGCTATCCTATTGTCTTGACAGGTATTCGGTTGTCCTTACTCCTTAGTTAGTTAGATGGCTCAGGAGTCTTTATTTGCTTTTGCAATGCAGTTCTTTCTGTTACTGCAACACTATTTCAGCTGAGCAATCGCCTCATTTGTCTCTCTATCTCTGCTGAGTTGGTATAGTTAATTGGTTGTTCATCACGTCTGTTTCACCAGCAGATGGTGGTAACTTATTATCCTTCTTGATCTCGTTTTTCTACAGAGGGTGATGGCTCAAAAATATATGTCAGCTGCATTGCATTCCGGGATCCAGTCGCAGAGGATATTATTGAAGCTTACCGTTTACCACCTAAGGTGTATGCAGACAAGTGTATCTGTCTCGTTTCTCACTCACCCAGTTTTCGCATACTTCGAAATGCTCTTGAAGAGATTTTTGCTCTTTGCTTCTCCTCAGAAGGAAGCAGGTAAGCTTTATGCCTCAACTAAAACAGCTCTGCATCTTGGATGTGTACAAAAAATTTGGAACTTGTCCCTGAGATATCCAAGCATTTACTTTTTTATTATTTTATGATACATACGGTAAACATATCAGGATAGACCTGTATCGGCTTCCATTCTCTTTTTACGTTGACGTTACTATCTTGACAAAAGTGACTAATCTAAATCAGTATGATAACTAAAGAGAAACCCACATCCTTTGGTTGGAACTTGATGTTCTCTATTCTACAACAATTTCAGCAAGCCACTGTGGGATGTTATCGCATATATGGTATCTAATGTACCATTACCGACTCCTGGAAAAGATCGAGTCTTGTTTGCTGTTGAGAATTGCCTGCTCTCTGTGGAAGCTCCTCCCGAGGACAGTCTTCCCCATGCAGATGTATGGCTCGTGCTTTTCTCATCATGTATCAGTCTTGAACTCTTTTTTTTATCTGCACTTTATGCTATGAGGGCTGGAGATTCCCAATTTCTTGGACATTTTATGAGGGATCCCAGAAAGGTTATCTAACAACTGTCATGATTTTGCTGAATGCAGATATCCTTCCAACCCCTTGTACAATGCTTGGATGTGGACAACTTGATTAAACTATTCACAGCTGTGTTAGTTGAACGACGGATTCTACTTCGATCAAACAAGTAAGTTACCTTTTAAGAGAAACCGAAAGTTTCCTATGATCCATTTTCTGGAGATACTTAACCTGCGGTGTGTAGTCCTCTTAAGAACCTTATATTAGCATATTTACTTTTCTTTTGAAATTGAATGTTACTCATAGTATCTGCTTATGCATCAAACTGATTTCCATGTATTGTGAAATTTGATAGGTACTCACTTTTGACTCTGGTGTCAGAAGCCATATGTCATTTAATTTATCCTTTCAGATGGCAGGTAACTCCTAGAACACTAATGAAATGTGATTTTATATCCCTTTTATTGTTTTCTCTCAAGAAAAGAAATAGTGCAACAATCAGATATATTAGGCAATCTGTTATCTTGTTTATTTATTAGATAGCTATGGACGAAATTGAATCTGGCTTATTTATTAGATAGCTACAGACGTATCTAATCACATTTTCACTGGTTATGCTGAGGTTCTTCTAATTTTTGCTCTTTGTTTTTTTTTTGTTTCTGAAGCAAGTCTACATTCCATTACTATTTTTCAGTGGAGTAGACTACATTGACGCGCCCACCCCATACATGATGGGTCTTCATTCTGGTGTTGATACATCAAATCTTGCTATGGATGGTGTGAGTAGTTTGTTTAGTTTGATCACAACATATATCTTAGATTTTAAACTGTACTATTTCATACTTGTGTAGGCTTCTTCAAAATTATTGACAGTCTGACACATTCCTCTTTTTAGGTTGTAGTTGTGGATCTTGAATTCAACCAAATCACCACATCAGAGGAAATACCTCCCATACCAGAGCCTGAGCTAAGCTCTTTGCGCAACGAAATCTTGAAACTACTGTACCCTAATGTTGTGGAAATCGACCACTTAAAGGGCTTTGGTAGTTTTGTTGAGCAGTGTCCTAAAAGCCTTAGCAAACCTTGGGCTGAGGATCATGACCTTCAGCTCAGGTGATAATTGCAAATTTTGTAAATCATTAGTCCATTTTTTCGGCTGCTCATCTTGTTTTGTCAAACAAAATCGGTTTCCCATGGCAGGTTAATATTTTTGAAATGTTTTGCATCGATCTTGGGTGGCTACCGCAACTTCATAGTATGGATTTTTGTATCTATTTTCCTTACATTTTTTAATTGTGTGTTCTTCAATATTTTGTTATTTATTTAGACTTCTTTTGTCAGGAAAACAAAGTCTTTAGCACTGATGCATTTCTGAAGAGGCGCTCTCGGTCCACCAACCAGCCACCAGAGCCTATGGTAAAGTAATTGTTTCATGGTTATTCTAAGCATATACTTAACCGTCTTGCATGTTAATTAGTTGAAATTTTTGTTCTCTAATGTTCTGTCAGGTCTCGTCTACGTATCTCTGTTTCTTTGATTGATTTTTTTGTTTTTTCACATTTTACAACCATTGAAAAACTCTGTTTTTTTATTTTTTTTATGAGATAGTTGGGTAAGTTCTCGATAGATAGAGTTGCACCAAGGGTCTGCTTTAAGCTCGTACCTCTTCACGTTAGTCATGGATGAGTTGACTAAAGATGTACAAAAAGAAGTACCGTGGAGCATGATGTTTGCGGACGACATCGTGTTAATAGATGAGTCTAGAGAAAGAGTAAATGAACAATTAGAGTTATGGAGGAGTACATTAGAGGCTAAGGGTTTTAGGCTTAGTAGGACGAAGACCGAGTATATGCATTGCGATTTTAGTGGGGGACGTTCTAGTGATGTAGGAGTTAACTTACAAGGAGGAATAGTACCTCAAAACCCGCATTTTAAATATCTTGGTCCAATCTTTCAAAAGGTTGGAGTTGTGACGAAGATGTTAGTCATAGGATAAAAGCGGGATGGATGGAACGGAGACAAGCCATGGGGGTCCTTTGTGATCGCAAAGTCCCTATACGGTTGAAAGGAAAATTCTATCGTACTGCCGTAAGACCCGCGTTGATGTATGTGACCGAGATGAAAATGTTGCGACGGATGTGTGGACATACACGAATAGACCGAATTTGAAATGAGAGTATTAAGGAGAAACTAGGAGTCATAACCATAGAAGATAAATTACGTGAGGGACGTTTAAGGTGGTTTGGATACGTAAAACGTAGACCGCTAGATGTTCCGGTTAGAAAATTAAAGAGTATAAGGATAGAAGTGAAAAAACGAGGAAGGGATAGGCCTAGACTTACTTGGGAATGAGTTATTAGAAATGACTTGGATATGTTGCAAATATCGGAGAATATGACGCAAAACCGAAATGAATGGAAAAGAAGAATTCATGCGACCGACCCCAAATAAACTTGGGATTAAGGCGATGTTGTTGTTGTTGTTGTATAGTGGGGTAAAGTGAACTGATTAGTAATTCATACTCAGATCTGTAGTTAGTTCTTTGAAGCACCACTTTATATTGATGTTTCTTGACAATGCTTACTCTTCGTGTGAAATCAATCTCTCTTTGAAGCACCACTTTATATTGATGTTTCTTGACAATGCTTACTCTTCGTGTAAAATCAATCTCTTTCACTGTTTTATAGTACTTACTGATCAGGGTGAAGCTGCTTGCATTTGTATTCTTTCTCTTTTTTTGCTTCTTTCTTGTGCATAAATGTTGGGTCTTCAGAACTTTCTGCCTTGTTCAGTATTTATCATTATTTTTTATTTATCATCCTGCTGTATCATCCAAAAAGTACTGAATAATTTAAGTCATATTTTATATGTTGATAAGTCAAAAGTTTACTTCTCTTGTTAATAATCTGTACTCTAATTTAATTGTTGGCAGTTGGTTCAATTCTTGGGTTCCTTGGCTTTTCTAGATTATCTTGAGAGACGTCTAGGTTCTGATGAGAACAACAATAATAATCTGCTTGAGAAATTACAAGATGCAATGGGAAGGGGTCAAGATGTTTTGTCGATTCTTCCTAAGTCTTCTATGGAGCCTGAGATGATCACAATTGCAGAGCCTGATGTTGAAGAATCAGGTAACTCTTGAATTTTTTGCTTGATAGATTTCAGTCGATATATCGCATAGCAGAAGCTGCTTGGAAATTCTGGAAATATCATAAAAATTACCTCAAAATTGTGGATTCGAAATAAAAAATCCAGAGAGGAAGAAAGTTCTTACTATTAGTGACAGTGTGGCTGCTGTGCTAGACGGTCTCGTATTAAGTGGCTCTCTGTAGCTGACATAAAAGACAAATATTCGCAAGTGACGTTTAAAAAAAAATTGCAAGCTGGTATACTTTGGGTAAAAAATTAGATGTTTGCGCACTAACATTTCTTTCCTAATTGGTACAATTGTAAGCTACTTTTTATTTCTTTTAACTTTCCTTCAAGCAGAGCATTCGTCAGTAGGCATTTCAATAAGAAGGAAATCTAAATAAGAAATTTTCTAGAAGGTTAACCTGAAACAGTGGTAACATTAAAATAAATAAAAAAAAAACAATTCTTCTAGTTCAACCCACACACAAATGGAATTGGAAAGGTCTAGTTTTGAAAGAGATATACCAAAGAAAGAAAATTATTGTGATCGTTGCTACTGTCCCAATTCTCCGAGGGGGTAAACATTTTTGTCCCACATCAGCATATCAATTTTAGTAACACTATCTGATTTGCCTCTTTGCTTTCTGCCAGACAGCAGATATACATACGATAGGTTTCCTGCAAATGTTCGGTCAGAGGAACAAGAAGAGAAGCGAAAACAGATTCTTGCAGCAGCAAGCGGAGCTTTGGAGTCCACGGGAAAGCAGTCTCCGAGGTATATCCTGGTTTTCTGTGGAATGGAGGATTGACGCTCATATTTATTTTCCAATGTCTTTCATTTGCAGCTCACCGCTGGGGAAAATATCCAAAGAAGACAGTCTCAGTTCAATAGAGAGAGCTGTAAGTGTTATTTGTTATCAGTTGCTTACGCATTGCATGAGACAGAACAATATGATTATTTTCAATGATTACATCAATTCCTAGGGTTTTGAGAAGCCAATCAGAACTGAGTTTATTGTTCATTACACGGATCCATATTGATATTGTAATTTCTTTGAAAAAACTGATTCATAAGACATTAAGAACTGATTAAAAATTGCCCACAATTTTTGTGCCAACATGAGATTTTATATGCTTAGCTTATTCAATTTTATCAAAATCAGTTTGGTTTTGCCTTTTATCTCGGGCATTTTTCTTTAATGACCAAAATATAGAGGCCTACTCTTTTTTCCAATCCAATTCTAGAAATTGTGCTGGTAACTTGTTCTGTTAGATAATGATTTTGTAACTACTGTTGCAGGCAGAGAGAGAACGAATGGTCTTGGATATACAAGTCAAGCTGCAGGTATGGCTTCTTGTTGTTGTGTTTTAGCAGATCAAATTTGCTCTTAGTTTCTGAACAGTATATATTATATGTTTAGGGTTAAACATCGTTTGGCATCATCTTCTTCAGAATTGTCCTTCGCTTCATGTCCATTCAGTATTTTTTTTTCTCAGTTTTGGATATATGGTTTTGCTTTAGGTGAAATATTATGGATTTGTAGATGTGTGTGATTATGTGTCTAGAATCTGGATGCAGTGATCTAAGATGCCTAGAAAGATCTGACTTTGCTCTAGTTTCTTGCATAATTGAAAATCGAGAAACATATAACCTAAAAAGGTTAGAAAATAGAACTCACCAATTAGAAGTTACCTAGTTCTATTTTCAAGTCTAGTCAATATGATGGAGACGCTTTTTGAGTGACTGATCTTATTGTACAATATCCTTTTCTTCTCATTCGAGAGACTCATGAATGAAAATACTCTAGTATTGAATCTATTGAAGTAAAACTACAATAAAAGAAAGCTGACGAAGTAAGTCATAGATGATTGATGGTTTCTGGTACATTGGTTTCACTGCGGTTGTTCTTTTTGAACAGGGATTGTGGCTACGTCTTCTGAAACTGGGTGCAACAGATGATCCTCTTTCATCATTTGAATATGGCACAATCCTGGGTATGTAAATATATATACAGATATTGCCCCATATGAAGATTTTCAATTAAAGAACAAATCAGTTTGTTTAATACGTAATAATCAGCCAACTTCTAACATAACGGAGGCAATCTTGGATATTTTCTGTTCTCCAATGTCATAGAAAACAGAGAGTAATTCTTGTATCCGCACTGAAAATTTAACTTAGCCCATATTCTACTCGTGTAGCTCTGATTGAATCTGATGCTGAGGGGATTGGTGGGAGTGGCTTTGTTGAGTGTATCAGGGAGCATCTCTATTCGGTAAGCATAGGGATCGTAGAGACTAGAGAGTAAATTATAAGTTGTTACTGAGTAGAACCTTACAGCATGGTGATTTTATTTTCTCCAGGGTTGGCATGGTCAATTGACTGAGGAGCAGTTCATTGCTGTCAAAGAATTGGTAAGCAGATGACTAGTTAATTAATTTGATCCATAATGGCTGTAATGGACCTAGGTTGCCAATTGATTGTGCTTTAGTTGTGTACATTTAGTTAAGCTTTTATTTAGGCATTTCAGCTGTAGCTGAGGAGTTTTTAACTTTTGGTAAGGCTAGATTGGTGATATTGTTTGGCTTTGCATGGACAATTTTTATGCCTTTTCAAATTTTGAATAACTTTAAATTTAAAGTTATTTGTGTTAAATGGTCTTTTAGAATTAGAATCAATATTATTTCATGCATGTACGTCTATTTTTCTTTAATTTAAGATATTTCTATTTAAAACCATTTTTTATTGCTAATACCTGCAAACTCAAGAAATTTCTGTTATACGGGTTTCATTCTATTCCTGTGATGAGAAATTGCTAAAAAAGCAACCGAGCTTTATGGTTATGTTTTCACGGAAGTCCATAAAACTGCAATTAATCAAGTGCGAGACCTAGTGATTAGCACCCGGGTTTTATGACTATATATATTGCTTTCTTTGACAAATACTATTTATCATTGTAATTCAGCTGAAAATGGCCGTCAGCCGAGCTATCTCGAGAAATGATGTCTCAACTATTCGGGATGCACTGGAAGTTTCTGCAGAAATGTTCAAGAAGGATGTCAATAATGTCTCAGACTATGTGCAGCGCCATCTCATCTCTCTACCAATCTGGGAGGACTTGCGGTATTTGACCAGTGGTGTTTTTTGTTCCGTGAATTCTTGACATTTATTGTTCAGGTGGGCAGACTATTATCATGTTGTGAATTATTTGACAGATTCTGGGAAGGTTACTTTGAGTATCTCATGGAGCAGCCTGCAAATGAGTGAGTGGTTTTAAATTTGTATGTTACATTAGATAATTTCAATTACTTTGTCAAATACCCCCATCATAAACAGAATGCCAATACAACATTTCATGATAGAACTGTTAAAACTTAACTTCTGTTCTCAAGGACATGGGCTTTGTTGCAGAAACACAAGTCACTTTGTAGTATACATGATAATAAATCTTCTGGTCTTCATGTTTCATTGTTTCTCTTAATAGCTTGGTTCTCATAAGGAGCTTCATATGATCATATAGCTTTTATGAATTCTGTATTTCCATATCCTTTTCCGATATTTCCATGCATTTCCATATCACTCGACTTCAACCATATCCATAAACCAAAATTGAGTTATTTTGTTTCATCGTCTTAAAATGTATTTGTTATACAACCAACAGTTTGCTGTATCATCACAACCTTTTTTATTTCTCTCTCAGATCGGTGAATTATGCAGCTTTGGTCACAGCAAGGCTGATAATAGTGGCATCACATATGGTGAATATTTTTAATTTCAGAATTGACTTCCCTACTTAATAGATGAGTCTAGAGAAAGAGTAAATGAACAAGCAACACTATTTCAGCTGAGCAATCGCCTCATTTGTCTCTCTATCTCTGCTGAGTTGGTATAGTTAATTGGTTGTTCATCACGTCTGTTTCACCAGCAGATGGTGGTAACTTATTATCCTTCTTGATCTCGTTTTTCTACAGAGGGTGATGGCTCAAAAATATATGTCAGCTGCATTGCATTCCGGGATCCAGTCGCAGAGGATATTATTGAAGCTTACCGTTTACCACCTAAGGTGTATGCAGACAAGTGTATCTGTCTCGTTTCTCACTCACCCAGTTTTCGCATACTTCGAAATGCTCTTGAAGAGATTTTTGCTCTTTGCTTCTCCTCAGAAGGAAGCAGGTAAGCTTTATGCCTCAACTGCTTGGGTCTTCCTGATACGGAGGCTTGGTATATGATTGAAACAATAGCAGAGAAACAGAAACTTGGATACAAGCTACTGGTAAATGAGATTTTCTATGTCATTTTGTTCTGCAATTGCTGGGAAACGTCAAGACACCGAAAATTGGCATTTTCCTTATACTTTTCAATCTTTATTCGTGTTGCGGTCATTGTTTTTACTCTTTTTGTTTTTAAGTCGTTGGCTTTATCTGTTTGGTTGGATTGAGCTTTTTCCTTTTGCTAAATTCTTTTGGTGATATTTCTGGGTCGTAGGTAATAAAATCCCTTGATCCTTTATTTTAAGTGATTAATTTTCAAAAGTTTTAATGTTTTCTTACACTAATACTTAATCTTTAAAGTAGATTAAATTTTAATTGTCAGCCAAAGTAATGGTCTTAAAGCTGCGAACAGTCAAGGATTAATTTTTGTTGTTGCATCTTCACTAATAGGGGTTCTCTGATTTTGTTTCAGATAAAACTCAGAGGATTCCTGTCACATATTCAGCAACTGCGTACCGGTTACTGGGGTGTCTATTCCGCTAAGCAGCAATCAATTGTTTCTGGATTGCCATCCCCGCGTCCAAAAGACGCCTTGGATGAAACTCAGCAACCTGCAGAAGCTTCTGGAAGGAGTTGGGTTCAAAGCATGTTTAGCAGGGATTCAGCGTCAAGAGCAAACTCTTTCAGTCGTGTTCGTAAATGGGTTTCTGATAATGCTTCTTCAGGTATACATCCATGCTTAACTCTTCTTTATGTGATTACCGTTCCGACACTTCGCTATTGTGAATAATTATACTGAACTGGCCAAACAGACATAACTGCTGCTGCTCAGAAGAAAATTCCGACCAATGTACGTGTTCTTAAGGGTCATGGTGGTGCTGTCACTGCTTTGCACTCAGTGACTAGAAGGGAAGTCTGGGATCTTGTAGGTGATCGTGAAGATGCTGGGTTCTTCATCAGTGGAAGCACAGACTGTTTGGTCAGTATAAACTGCTTCTGGTATCAATCGTTTATCCAGTATTTTCCGTTCTTGATTTTTATTGATTTCGTGACATTTTCTTGTCTCCTATGCTTTGTCCTGATATCTACATTTAGGATACACCTTCATTATTTGGAAGTTGTTGCATTGTGTATTAGGCCTTAAGTATGTTTTTTTTTTGTAAAGGCCTTAAGTATGTTACATGCTTACTAATTGGCAGTTGTTCAGTCTTTTCCATTATTATTTATATCGCATAAGTGAATGATTTGTTGTTTTGTCTACCATAAACCCTTGAATTGTACTTGCTATTGTGATTTTATTGCATTCTGAAAGAATCTGTGCTACAGTTTTTTTCCCCAACGCTATTGTAGCTTATTTTTTTGCCAATGTTTATTATTAATTACAGTATTGACTTTCTGCTGATAAATGCTATTTTCTTGGGTATGTCTAGGTGGCATGACCATCATGCCATTCTATTGAGTGATTCCGATTAGAAAATTTAGAGCATGGACAAATTAAAGGATTAATTATCTTTTCTGAAAACATTGAACAAAGCTATTGGATAGTAGTGTTAGTTGGTATTTTTTTGTCAAATCATAATTGTGTGGAGCGATTACTCAAGCAATGATGGCCTATCCCTTGCATTGTTGTTTGAGAAATAAATTAATAAGAAGGGGACTCTATTTTGCCCCGAGTCCTATTTGATAATGACAACACACCTGATTGTTAATTTGGGGCAGGTTAAAATCTGGGATCCGAGTTTGCGTGGTTCTGAACTCCGAGCAACCCTGAAAGGACATTCTGGGTAAGCTCTATTTCCTATGGGTCTTCGTGTCTCTCAGATGTTGTGGGTTATGTTTTTTATATCTATCATGTTTTGTTTCTTTAACGTGTTTTGTTTTTTACTTTTGGTGTAGAACTGTTCGTGCTATAAGCTCGGACAGAGTAAAGGTGGTATCAGGATCGGATGATCAATCTGTCATCGTATGGGACAAACAAACAACTCAGCTTCTAGAAGAACTGAAAGGACACGATGCACAGGTTCCCTACAATCTGATCTTTTGTTTTGTGAAATTAGTAATTGAGGTATAAGTTCGTCAAGAAAATGTAGTGGTCAATTTAGGGTAATCAAATCGATTAAAAAAGGAAAATTCCCAAAAAATCATCCAATTTAGAGATAACTAACAGATTCATCATGAACTTTTAAAATGTTCATATTCCTACTGACTTTAAATTTTTTTTCGGAAAAATCATTCAGAATTTAAATTTTTAACAAAAAATTTTATCGCCACCGAATTAATTTTGACATGTAGACAGAAAACGCTTACGTAAATGGACACGTAGGATACACGCCAGATTAATAGTAAAAAACTGTAAAAAAAATTGAAAAATTGTAAAACAATTGTAAAAAATGTAAAAGCCTAAATATAAAAATTTAATAAACCTACTTTATATTTATATATATTTCATAAAAATTGTAAAAATTGAAAAAAATTCTAAAAATTGTAAAAACCTAAATATAATTGGTGAGGGTGAATATATGAAAGGAATGACAATTTAAAAACCGATATCATAAAAACATTGTAAAAATCGGGATGGAGTAGGGATTTTAAAATCGGTTTTTAAATAGGTTTTTAGAATTTTTTTTACAATTTTTTACAATTTTTTTACCATTAATCTGACGTATATACTACTACGTGTCCATTTAGTACATGTCATATAAGCGTTTTCTGTCTACGTGTCAAAATTAATTCGGTGCCGATGTGGATTTTGTTAAAAATTCAAAATCTGAATGATTTTTTAGAAAAAAAAAATTCAAATTTAGTATGAATATGAGCATTTTAAAAGTTCGTGATGAATCTGTTAGTTATCTCTAATTGGATGATTTTTTTGGGAATTTCTCATTAAAAAAAGGTCAGTAAAAGTACTGATAGAGACATCAGAAACACCAATCTGCTCCAATTCTCTTACTCCATGATCTCACAAATTGTTGAACAATTTACATTCTTTTAGTTTAACTAGATCTAACAAGACACTTCACTCTCGCAAAGTCCAGTGGATGTGTGACGTTAGCTTGATCTAATGTTTTTGTTCTGTATCTTTGTGCATTCTTCCACTCCTATACGGAAATTTGGCATGCATGTCCATGCATTCATATATATGTATACACACACACATACATGCATATATAACTGGCATATTGGTGATTAAACCTGTGGTTCTGAAAATTTTCTGCAGGTAAGCTGTGTGAGAATGCTTTCGGGCGAGCGTGTCCTGACAGCTGCACATGACGGAACAGTTAAGATGTGGGATGTCCGAACTGACACATGTGTAGCCACGGTTGGTCGATGCTCCAGTGCTATCCTTTCAATCGAATACGATGACTCCACAGGAATCTTGGCTGCTGCTGGCAGAGACACGTATATACATTGTTTTACCTGCACATAATATTTTAGTTTAGAAAATATCAGATATGAATTCTACTGCATTTTCTTGCATTATCATCAGGGTTGCGAATATCTGGGATATCCGTGCTGGAAAGCAGATGCACAAGCTCAAAGGACATACAAAATGGATACGGTGAGCCAAATCATGATCTTTTTCTCTTCATGTTCATTTGTTGTGTCCTTGTATTAACGAAGAATGAAAAAACATGTGGATATTTTCCTAAAGGATGTTCAATCCATAGTTTTAGCGCTATTGCTTTAATCTTATCATGGACTGGGTTCATCTTGTGCTGGTACTACTAGATTCATCTCGTGCTGGAAATCTTCTTGGACTGATTAAAATCAGTTATCTTGCTAACGAATTGGAGAATCATAAGTTGGTGTGATAAATCCCTAGGGTCTATCCCTGACTTGTTTGATTGAATCATGTCAAATTCTGCAGATCAATTCGAATGGTCGGAGACACCTTGATCACTGGAAGTGATGACTGGACGGCAAGAGTGTGGTCTGTTTCCCGAGGGTCAATTGACACCGTTTTGGCATGCCATGCCGGACCAGTACTATCTGTCGAATACTCTACGCTAGATCGAGGAATAATCACAGGTTCATCAAGATTCAATTTTCTCTTATTTGTTTTTCTAATGGATTTCTAAAAATCTATTCTAAAAAAAGTATTGTTTCGTCGATCACAATCAAAAACATAAGTTTGTACTTGCTGTATTTTTGCAGGCTCGGCCGATGGGTTGCTCCGCTTCTGGGAAAATGATGATGGTGAGGAAAATTAGAGACTCTTAAATCATTTTGTGCAATCAATCACACCATTATGTCAATTCTACTCTATCTAAACTGAAAAACCAACTGTTTTCTAACATTCAATTAGCCATCCATTCTAGCTTAGACCATCCATTTGCTCCAATCATCGCATAAAACTCGGGCTGTGACTAATATAATAGCTGTATAGTTTGTGAGTAGTAGCACATTATAGAATCATTCATTCATTGCCTTTTTTTGTTCTTGGCTTTTAGGTGGTATAAAATGCATGAAGAACGTAACACTCCATAACGCATCGATACTATCAATCAATGCTGGTGAGAATTGGCTAGGAATCGGAGCAGCTGATAATTCCATGTCTCTCTTCCACCGTCCTCAAACTGCCGGAACCAAAATATCCGGCTGGCAACTTTACAGAGTACCCCAACCAACTGCCGCTGTGGTAATATATTCTTCTCTCTCCCTTCTTTCCACTTTTTCTCATACTCTGTTATTATTATTCTTCGTTCCGGTAATCTTCTTATCCGAGTTTCTAATCCCAATCAAAACAGTATAGATCCATCCGAAGCCATCCGTAATGTCTCGTGGATTAGTTAGTTCGGGTTAAGAAACTAAGGTGGTTTTCTATGGGTCTTGGAAACTATGTTATCCATTAAGTGTAGGGGAAACCTCTTGAACATGCACCAACTTAAGTTACTTAACCAAGAAGAAGAGACTTTCCCTTTTTGAGAAAGTTGTGAACTTGGGATTGTTTTACCAGAAAAAAATAATAATCTGATAATGGAATGTACTTTCCAAATACCAGAGATCAGATTAAGATATGAATCTGTAAACTTCGGGTTTACGATTTCTTTGTTCCGGGCATGCTTGAATCACTCTTCTTTTTTGATCGTTGACTGGTGAATGGATAAACAATGGGGTGTTTTTGGGCCATGTCGGGACAGGTGAGATGTGTGGCGTCGGATCTCGAGCGGAAACGGATCTGCAGCGGCGGCAGAAATGGTGTTCTCCGGCTGTGGGATGCAACCATCAACATCTGATCTCTCTCTCTCTCTCTCTCTCTCTCTCTCTCTCTATATATATATATATATATATACCCCCTTTCACACCCTTCACACTCCCATTTTGTATCTTTGTTATGTTTGCCTCTACTGGTATCTCACTTTTTTCAGTACTTTGGTCTCCGTTGTGTTGTTTATGCCTAATTCAGAGCAAGACATTGTTGTGGTTAGATGGAATTTTTGTATTATTTTTTTTTTTGTTTTTTTTGGTAATCTTCTTTGTTTTGTTATATGATTCTTGTGTTGATTGATTAATCACACCATGGGATTCAATGCATTTTTAGACGTTTAGTCGTATCTATGGTTTTGGTAGATTTTTTATGGTCGGGAAAGTTCATTAGGTGTTCGGTGTAATCATATCTCAGCGAGACAGGTCGGGTAATTACCACTTAGGTGTGCTCCTCCCCAAATGGCTGTTTGAACCTAACTTGAGCTTTATCTTTACTATCTATTCTGTGTCGTGGTCCTTCTTAATGATGATGGTGATGATGGATTTCAACCATAGACAGGTGTACGGCAAAAATCTAAAAACCTGAAAAGCGGTCAACGGCCGATGTGGTTTGATGACACGTGTCAATAGGTGCGATGGATCATGATCTGCCGACAATCAAGTTATGAACCCCCACGTTACCTATCTTGGTCATTTTACAGCGAAACTACTAGTTTTTTTTATAGTGGTGGTCTCATGCATCGTGCATCACTTTATAAAATACATCTTTTCTTATTATTTTTATGTTGGAATATGATAACATTGAATCAACATCACATCGTCTTAATCCCGAATTTATTTAGGATCGGATACATGAATTCTTCATTTCTATTCGTTTCGGTTTTGAGTTAGTTCTCTCAAAATTTACAACAATTCCAAATCATTCTTAGTGATGCGTTCCCAAGTAAGTCTAGGTCTACCCCTTCCATTTCTCTTCACCTCTATTCCTATACTCTCCACTTTTCTAATCGGTGCATCTATCGACATACATTGTACATGTGATCCAAACCATCTTAAACGTCTCTCTCGTAACTTCTCTTCTATATCTATTACTCATATTTTCTCTCTAATAGTCTCATTTCTAATTCTATCCATCCTAATGTGTCCGCACATCCATCTCAACTTTTTCATCTCGACTACACTCATTTTAAACATATGTTGTCCTTTCATCGTCCAATATTCGCTACTATACATCAATGCGGATCTTATGGCGATACGGTAGAATTTCTCTTTCAACCGTATGGAAACCTTACAATCACAAATAACTCTCATGGCTTGTCTCCATTTTATCAATCCCGCTTTGACCTTGTGACTAACATCTTCGTCGCAACCCCCATCCTTTTGAAGGATTGAACAAGATATTTAAAATGCAGGTTTTGAGGTACTGATCCTCCTTGTAAGTTAACTCCTACCTCACTAGAGCGTCTCCCACGAAAATCGCAATGCATATACTCGGTCTTCGTTTTACTAAATCTAAAACCCTTAGCCTCTTATGTATTCCTGCATAACTCTAATTGTCCATTTACACCTTCTCTGGACCCATCTATTAGCACAATATTGTTAGCAAACATTATACACGACGGTACTTCTTTTTGTATATCTCTAGTCAATTCGTCCATGACTAATGCGAAGAGGTACGGACTCAAAGCAGATCATTGGTGCAAACCTATCGAGATGGAAAAATCTCGCATGTCACCTTCTATTGTTCGAAAACTAGTGGTCACACCTTTATACATATCCTTCAGTACCTATATGTATCTCATTGATACTCCTCTACGCTCTAACATCCACCATAAAACCTCTCTAAGTATTCGATCATATGATAACACTGAATAAATAAGATTTTATCTTTTTAAAAGTATATTTATAATACTATTTTTAGTTGGGTAAATAAAAAGTTGATTCATTCGTTGACATTATGCTTATACAATACTATGTAAGACATTTACATCATAGTAATGTTCGAGTTTTCATTTGAGAAAGAACATTCACCTAGACTTCATTGATCCTCTGCAAGATGTAATTGAGCCAAAAATCCAATAAATTTCTATATTATAAAAAAATATATATTACTTATATATTAGAATTTTGAATTTGTATGCCTTGGATGTGATTGCAGAAAATAATAATATGTTACATGTGATTGATTGATGAGGTGGTAAGGATGTGAAGTTGAGATGAAAGTAGGAGGTTTAGAGTTTTAGTATAAATAGATTGTGTTGTATGGAGTTTTTCATATAAAACACTTCTAAACATTTCTCTCTTTTATTTCTTTGATAATAATTTATAATTCTAAGTATAAATGTTACAAATCTTCGATATTTTCTCGTTTTTTTCTTTGCACTATGCACTAAAAAATAAAAGTTAAGAAACTTATAAATGTTTATATAATACAAGCTTCGTAACATGGTATCAGTCGATTATATTCAAGGAATGATGTTGCACTTGCACTAATCCAAACACAAGGAAGAGTTATAGATCGAAGCACAAGACACACCGCAAAACACAACTTGCATGAAGAGCGTTATGGTTGTAAACACACAAATATTCAACCCATTGCTATTTTTTTATGGCCAAAATTATGAGTTATGGACCACGAAGATGAAGACAACGTTGGTACTAACACTACAAGAAAATCTTCCTATAGTTACGGAACTTGCGAGGGAATTTTCCGTCGCATACAAGTTATGACGGAATACGATGATTTCACGATGGAATGTGAGAAAAAAATTCACGTCGCAAACAGTCGCACAATCCATCGCAAATTTGTGACGGAATGCGACGAAGATGTTGTTGTAGCAACAACAAACATTATTTGCATCAAAAATTTTAATGTGTTAGAATTTGCGAAAAATTATTTTTAATTCTTTTTAATTTATTTTATTATTTTTCAGAATTTGTTACGGAGTTGTGACGAAAATTTCTGTCGCAAATAATAATTTCATTTATTTTCATTATTTTCGACGAAAATTTTTAAATTTTCGCGGTTTTTATTTTGTTGGGCGATGGATTGCGACTAAAATTTTCGGCGCAACACTAAATAAAAGCCGCAACTTCGTCTTTCTCTTTAGACTTTGAAATTTTCAAAACAAAAATCATAATTTTCTCCAATCGTTATTGTGACACCCGAATCCCGTATCCCGTAAACAGGATATGCCACATGGACGAAACCAATAAAATATAATAAAACCAAAAGTACGAAAAAATTTAAAATCATTTTTAAATATAAATACGCAGCGGAATAAACACATCATACGTCTCTCAAATAACACATGTCCAAACATGTAATTAAACACAATCGTTTTCATATGGAACCTTGTTCCACAGTCCAAAACACCCGAAGAAAAGATAATACATTCGTACATGATGTTACTTTCACCAAGTCGTCGTCGTCGTCCAAAGTGCGCTACTCATGCTCCTCGGGATCTGAAAAATTCAACAACGGAGGGCTAAGCATAATGCTTAGTGAATGGCTCGGGTTGAGCCTGGAGAGTCCATTCTCATGGAGAACGATGCCAACTAATCTCTCAATACAAGAATTTCCTTATTTATCCATTTAACTTTTCTAAATAATCCTCTTTAATTCATTATCATTATTCCATACATTTTCGATATCTGATAGTATTGACTCAATTCGTCAACCGTCACCATCAAGTACCATTTCCTTTCCGTATCATCTAGTACTGACTCAATTTGTCCACCGATACTAGATTCCACCCTGTTTCTCTGTAATAGTACCGGTTGACGAAGTGGAGTCAGTACTATTACAGAGAAGCAGGGTGGAATCTAGTATCGGTAGCAAATTGAGTCAGTACTAGATGATACCGAAAGGAAATGGTACCTTATTTATCCATTTAACTTTTCTAAATAATCCTCTTTAATTCATTATCATTATTCCATACATTTCCTTTCGGTATCATCTAGTACTGACTCAATTCGTCTATCGATACTAGATTCCACCCTGCTTCTCTGTAATAGTACTGACTCCACTTCGTCAACCGGTACTATTACAGAGACGACCACACAGATTCACCAGTGATGACTCCCCGTCGTCAACCGGTACTGGCTTCACTACACATTCCCGTAACGGTACTGACTCCTCTTCGTCCACCGTTATGGAAATGTCCACCCAACAACACCAGTACTGACTCCACATCGTCAACCGGTACTGGTGTTACATTTCGGTAATAATACTGACTCCAAGTTCGTCAACCGGTACTACTACCGAAATGTCCACATCAACCCTCCAGTACTGACTCAAGTCGTCAACCGGTACTTGGTCCACATCCACAAGTTTCTGTAATAGTACTGACTCTAAATTCGTCGATCGGTACTACTACAGAAACCACACACCCAGCAGTGCTGACTCCAAGGTTGTCAACCGGCACTGGTTCCACATCCACACGTCCCCTACTAGTACTGACTCACCCCGTCAACCGGTACTAAGTACGGGCATCAGTATACTTGTTTTATCATTTTCCATTTGATTACAACTTAACACCTTATTGTAGTTTGATCCATGCGATTTTTCCCTTTTTGTTTTAGCTTGGACCGATCGGTCTAGGAGTAGACCGTCCGGTTTACTCGTTCTATTCATTTGGTTTTATTTTTAGTTCTGGACCGATCGGTCTACACTTTTTTTTTGGTTTTCTTCCTTTTCCCCAGCCCGGTTCGATCCTCGGTTTAACTTTTTCTCTGGACCGATCGGTCTGTGTGTGTGGACCGGTCGGTTCGGACTAGGGTCAGAGCGCTCGTTGTCCGTGCCCCAGACCGTTCGGTCCAGACCTGGACCGGTCGGTCTGGGACCTGGACTTCGTCTTCTCCGCGAGATCCAGCCCGATTTTCACCATTTTTGACCAAATTTTGATCTGATTTCGACTCCGATTGCTACCCACTCATTATTTAACATTCCTAGGTCCTTAGTTCTTATAGAAACACTAATCTACACCATTATTCATGAGAATTGAATCTCACAAACACAACTCAAAACCACTCACCTCGGTTTTTCTGCGATATGTGATTTTGTCCGAGGTTGTGCGAGCTTCTCAGGCCGTTTCGCACCGCGAAACTCTTCAGAACTTGTCTAGTGATGCCCCTCTTTGATTTCCCCAGCCCGTCTCGCCTTGAATCGGCTTCTCTCGCTCTCACTTTCTCTTTTTTTCGGATTTCAGGTTTCTGAGCATAGATGGTCGACTTGGCCTGTTGAAGGGGTTAAAATGACAGATTTTTGCGAGATTTCTGGCCCTAGGACAGGTCAAGGGGTCCGTTCGTGTTGCACACTAGACAGGGG